AATCTGAGAGGAGAACCCGACTCCCAAACCACTCAGACTCACAAACGCTGACAGACCCGGATTCAATATCCACTCAGGAGACTCAGTCTGGTTAAATTAGATAATATGTATGTTTATATAAACTAAAATAAAAATGTGTTAACTATATTAAACTTCATATATATATATATATATATCAAATTAAAAATTGTAAAAAATATATATAGCCTATATTATATCTAATATATGATTGCTGATGATTATATAGATTATGTATTATATATATTATACATTTAAAATTACATTTATGATTACATTTATAATTATATTTATTTAAATTTATGGAAAAAAGCTGTTATAGGAAAATGGGGATGGATGGATGGATGATAGATAGATAGATAGATAGATAGATAGATAGATAGATAGATAGATAGATAGATAGATAGATAGATAGATAGATAGATAGATAGATAGATAGATATTTTTTTCTTTTTTGCTTAATAGTTCCTATATAGTCTAGTTTTGGTTAAAAAACAGTTTTTTTCTCCCTGCTTATGCAGCCTGGTCAGACTTCCTGCTGACGGCTTTAACTACTTTAACCCCCCCTCCCCCCACGGTGGATTTAAATTATGTGTCGTCGTTCACAAAGCGTTTCCTCTCACCTCCTCTTCTTAAAACCCCTTTTGTAGAAAAACTGAGTGTCTTTGTCACCAGAACTTCCTCAGGAGAGAATCAGAACTTCTCAGAAACTCTCCTGTCAGGGTCTGGAGCTGAGGGGCTGACAGACCCGCCGCCGCCTGGTTCTGATCAATAACTCGGGTCATCATTTATGGATGATTCTGCTGCTCTCAATGCTGACTTGACAAGCCTCCGTTCTCCTCCCCGGCCCTCTTGTTTCCCCTCTCCTCCTTTTTGCTTTTGCTTCCTTCCTTCTCTTCTTCTTCCTTCTAATCTCTCTCCTTCTCTTTGCCTCTTTCCTCTTCCTTACGTAAATAAATCGATAAATCAATGGGAAACCGAACCAGTTGACTCGGACCACATCAGTCTGCAGCCTGTAGGAGCCTCGGTTGGATATCCAACTCCTCCCACATCCAAGTCGGCCATTTTGATTAGGTCATGTGACTAGCAGCTGTCTGAGGTGGAAACTAAACTAAACTTTTGTTACTTTTCCTTTTGGATCCCTCTCTGTTTTATTTCTTACATCATTTTATTATTCATTTTATACCGTTTATTGACATTTTAGCGGGATTTTCCCCTGTTTTTATATATTTTCATATCCCTCTTATTCTTTTTTTTACCACTCATTTACACCGTTTATGTGTTTTAAGGCCTTCTTTACTCCCACCTCTTAACGTTTTTAGACATTCTTATCCTTCATAACATATAACACATAATCCCCGAAGGAAATTATTTGATTTATTTCGCATCAGTCTGTTCATGGAAAACTGTACCATGAATTACAAAGGCTGCAGGTCAGAAATGGGAAAGGCCAAAGCTAAAACAGAGCTAAAGAAAGAGCTTCTGCCCCCCGACTTGTGCTGTGTGAGTTTGTATTTTCTGAGGAGTTCCTCTGATCAGATGACCCAGTTTCTAGCTTCCAAACGGCTGAATATAAAGAGACATTTATGTGATGCACGTTTAATCTTTCAGAGGGAAACGAGACGGTACAAAAAAATACAGAAAAGAAGGGGATGAGTGGTGAGGGGGTGCTAGCATTTGGGCTAGCTCCAGAACACGGCCGCCATCTTGAAAGCCGCCATGTTGGATTGAATATTTCCAACGTGAAGGTGGTCCAATTTGAAGTTTGGTTTTCTCTCGATGGTATAAAACATTAAACTTACATCTGATGAAAAATGGTTGAGTTTTTTCATAGTTTATTTGCCATAACAAATAACCAAATCTAATTTACCACTTTTTGAATGCAGACCAATTTGGAAGCCAGTTGGAGTCAAATATGTATTTTTTTCCTGCAATTGTGAGCAGATCACTGGGAAAATGAAAAGAAATGTCAGTTTTTAGCCTTCTTCGCTCCTGGGTGTGTTTGATTTGACCGGCTCTTAAATGTGTGAATAACAACTCAGTCTCTGTACACCCCCCCCCCCCCCCCCCCCCCCCCCCCCCCCCTTTCTTTAAACATCAAACCAACCCAGCATGAGGCCGTTTTAGCTAAAGAGCTTTAAACCCATATCTGAACTGTGCTTTTTATTTTTCCTAAACATTTGAAGGAATCATAGCTCAGACTCTTTCTTCTCTAAAAGTAGATGTGTGTTTAATGGAAACTGCTTTGCTCAAAGCCTCCGGGGACATGATGATGACAGCAGTCGGGTTATTGCGAGATTTGATGAAGAGAGTCACAAAGATACCAGTTTATTAGTTTATTACCCATTTTCCACTTAAACTCAGATGGTTCTGATCTATCTGTGTCACACTGACGTCTGGGGCAGGTTTCAGATTTGAGAGAATAATAAAATAATGGCTTATTACTTGTGATAATGATTAAATAGATCAATTCAATTACATCAACTTACTGATATGTTTGTTGCATTGGAATAATGGGTCTGAAGTGTCTCACTGCTCAGTTTTATACATAAACCCTTTAAAAATATTAGCTGATTTTACAAAAAAAAGGATGAAAAGATGTCCGTTTTTCCA